GTATTAGGTAGAGCTGCTGTGTCTCCTGCAATTTGTAGAGTGGCTTTGTGTAGTAGGTGTCCTGTGGGTCCAGTGGCTCAGCCTCCCGTCACCTGAGCTGGCCTTCTAGGTGCTCCCCTGTGTGGGCGGTGTGCACTGTCCTGTTGTAGTTGAGCCTTGGTTGCTGTTGGCATCACTGGGAGGAATTAACCCTCTGGCCAATCGGCTGGGACCAGCTGCAATACAGCCAAATAGCTGCTGTGCTGGAGACACCCCTATGGAGCAGGATTTACTTTAGTGGGGCTTTGATGTTCACCAAGTGCCCCCCTTCAGTGTGTCAGTTGTGGGTGTGGTAGGGTTGTAATCCAGCGTGGTGGAGTCTGACCACCAGGTGCACTGTCTCTGGGGTCTCCTGGGAGGTGTAAAGTCAGCCTCTGCCAGCGCCTTGCCCAGGGCTGCCAGCATGAGCTACACACAGCAAACCGTAGTTGACTGCTACTTGTGCTGGGCTTGGAGGAGCCCAGGAGAGGCCAAGCTATGAACCAATGCAGCTGCCGCTAGTGCCAGGCCTGGGGCCACTTATCAAGATGTATGGGGCATGCTGAGGCCAGCTGCTGCTTGTTTGAGAGATTTTAGGAAAGTCCTAAGCATGAGGCTTGAGAGACCACTTGTGTAGAAAAGCCACTGGAAATGGCCTGGATGAGCTGCAGGTGGGGAGGGGCGGGGCCAAAGGTGTGAGTCTCAGGTGCTGGCGATTCAAATATGGCGCCTGCCTGCCTGCTCTGTGCGGGGACAACTCGACAAAGGAGCAGTGGCCTCTGTCAGCTCTTCTGCCTGGGAGAAAACTGCCCCTCCAGCTCTCCCCCCGATTTCAGGCAGGTTAGTTCCTCCCCATTGTCCCAGGTCCTTTCAGGCTGCTGCCCGGCACTGGGCTCAGAGGGAGGGCGTCTGAGTGAGTCCATGCGCGGGCCTTTTAAGAGGAGCTGCCTGGGGCTCCTGCAGCCTCCGCGACCCTCAGCGACAGTCCCTGCTGGTTTCACAGCCCGAAGGTGTGAGGAAGCCTCTTCCTGGCCCTGGAGCCCTGGGCTGGGGGCTTGATGTGGGGCTGGAACCCCTCTCTCCTCCGGGAAACCTCCACCCCGAGATTCCCTCCCGGGTTTAAAGCGCGGCACTGGGCGTGGGCCGCCGGCTGGTCTCCGGGATTCAACCCCTATCCGTCTGCGTCTCTGCCCCTCCTACCGGTCTTGGTGCTTCTTCAGGTCCCTGGTTGTGGGGTTTCTGTTCAGCCAGATTTCAGGAGGCTCTGAGTGACGGTGGTTCTGTATTTTAGTTGTAACTTTGATGTGGTTGCGGGAGGCGGCGAGTGCAACTGTTACCTACACCGCCATCTTGCTTCTCCGATAAAATCCATCTCCTGATTAGATTTCTGCTGCCTCTCTTGCTTGTCCCTCTACACGGAGCAAACAGAGTGATGCTTTAAGGGCTACATTAGATCATGTCAGAACTCTGCTCCAAACCCTCCAACAGCTTTCCATCCCGCTTATATCAAATCCAGAGTCCTCGCATGGCCTGCAGGACCCCTCATGATATAACCACCATCTGTGTCCTTCGTCTGCTGCCACAGTCCCCCACGCATAGTTTGTCAGTGACTTCACCCTTTTTTGGGAACACAAGAGCTTTTCCTGCTTCCTGGCTTTTATATGTGATATGCCTGTTTGGTCCTTCTGCCTGGAAAGCTCTTCCCCCAGATCTTCACATAGCTAGCTCCTTCTCACCATCAAGCCTTCTGTTATATTCAGTTCATTTTCTTGAGAGCAAAGCAGTACTGGTAGAATTTGCTTAGTTGTTTTTGTACCCCCAGGTCTGTTGTGTTTATCATTATGTACCTGTCACATAGTAGGTGTTTAATAAGCATTTACTGAATGAGTGAAGTGATTCAGTTATTCATTACTTCCAGAGACTGTCCTCTTCACAAAGGGGGTGGAAGTAAGATTCTCTCTCTGTTCTTCAGGTACATTACCTGTGCTGAATACACTCACTTCTATGGTGGCAAGAAACCAGGTAAGGCATGAAATCCTTCTGTTCCCCTTGGTATGTAATTAAGGAATGATGTTTTCACTATACAATGAACCTGTAAAAATTAACAATTAACAAGAACATGGAAACATAGTAGATAAATGCGCTGAGGACGCAGACAATTCAGAAAAGAGGAAGAACACCAAAAATATGAGAAAATGCTTAATCTTGGTGTTTTTGCTTTTTTTAATGTAGGTTAAAATAACATTCTTTTCTCAGGTTAATACAGGCAGGCATACCTTGCTTTTATTGCACTTTGCAGACATTGCGTTTAGAGCAAGTCTGGGTATGGTTTTTCAACAGCCTTTGTTCACTTTTGTGTTTCTGTGTCACATTTTGGTAATTCTCACAATATTTCAGACTTTTTCATTATTATATTTGTTGTGGTAATCTTTGATCTTGTGATGTCACTATTGTAATTGTTTTGAGGCATCATGAACCATGCCCATATAATACAACAAACACAATGAATAAATGCATGTGTTCTGACTGCTTCACCGATTGGTCGTTCCCTCTCCGTGGGCCTCCACATTCCTGAGGTACAACAGTATTGAGATTAGGCCAGTTAATAACCCTACAATGGTCTATAAGTGTTTAAGTGAAAGGAAGAGCTGCCTGTCTCTCACCTTAAGTCAAAAGATAGAAATGATTAAGTGAGAAAGGCATGTGGAAAGCTGAGATAGGCCGAATGCTAGGTAGAGCTCTTGCACCAGTTATCCAAGTTGTGAATGCAACATAAAGCTCTTGAAGGAAATTGAAAGTGCTACTCCAGTGAACACACAAATGACATGAAAGCAAAACAGCCTTGAGAAAGTGTCAGTAGTCTGGTTGGAAGAGCATCCAGTTATAACATTCCCTTAGGCCAAAGCCTAATCCAGAGCAAGTCCCCAACTCTATATTCAGTACCGTGAATACTGAGAAAAGTGAGAAGCTATAGAAGAAAAGTTTGAAGGTAGCAGAAGCTGGTTCATGAGGTTTAAGGGAAGAAGCTGTGTTCATAACATAAAAGTTCAGGGTGAAGCAGCAGGTGCTGATGTAGAAGCTGCAGCAAGTTACCTGGAAGACCTAGCTAAGATGACGAAGGTGGCAACAAGAAACAAAAGATTTTTGATGTAGATGGAACAGCCTTATATTGGGGAAAAATGCCATCTAGGACTTTCCTAGGCAGAGAGGAGAAGCCAATGCCTGGCTTCAAAGCTTCAAAGGACAGGCTGACTCTTGTTAGGGGCTAATGCAGCTGGGGACTTGAAGTTGAAGCCAGTGCTCATTTACCATTCCAAAAGTCCAAAGGTCCTTAAGAATTATGCTAAATCTACTCTGCCTGTGCTCTGTAAATGGAACAACAAAGCCTGGATGACAGCACATCTGTTTACAACATGGTTTATTAAATATTTTAAGCCCACTGTTGAGATCTACTGCTCCAAAAAAAAATATTCCTACTCATTGACAATATACCTGATTACCCAAGAGGTCTGATGGAGATGTACAATGGAATTAATGTTGTTTTAAAGCCTGCTAATAGAGCATTCATTCTGCAGCCCATGGATTGATCAAGGGAGTAATTTTCACTTTCAAGTCTTATTAAGAAATATATTTCATAAGGTTGTAGCTACAATAGATAGTGATTCCTCTGATGGACCTGGGCAAAGTAAATTGAAAACCTTTTGGAAAGGATTCATCATTCCAGATGCCATTAAGAACATTCGTGATTCGTGGGATGAGGTCAGCGTATCAACAATGACAGGAGTTTGGAAGAAGTTGATTCCAACCCTTATGGATGACTTTGAGGGGTTCAAGACTTCAATGGAGGAAGTAACCACAAACGTAATGGGAATAGCAAGAGAACTAGAATTAGAAGTAGATCCTGAAGATGTGACTGAATTGCTGCTATCTCATGATAAAACTTTATGGATGAGGAGTTGCTTTTTATGGATGAGCAAAGAAAGTGGTTTTTGAAATGACAACAAAGGATTTAGAATATTACATAAATTTAGTTGATGAAGCAGTGGCAGGGTTTGAGAGGATTGACTCCAGTTTTGAGAGAAGTTCTGAAAATGCTATCAAACAACATTACATGCTACAGAGAAATTGTTCGTGAAAGGAAGAATCAATAGATGCGGCACACTTCACTGTTGTTTTATTTTAAGAAATTGTTTCCGCCACCTAACCTTCAGCTACCACCACCCTGATCAGTCAGCAGCCATCAGCATCAAGGCAAGACCCTCCACCAAGTAAGAGATTATGACTCACCGAAGGCTCATGATGGTTAGCAATTTTAGCACTAAAGTGTTTTTTAATTAAGGTACGTACAGTACATTTTTTAGACATAGTGCTAGTACACACTTAAGAGACTATAGAATAGTATAAACATAACTTTTATAAGCACTGGGAAACAAAGAAATCTGTTGGAACACTTTATTACAATATTCACTTTATTGTGGTGGTCTGGAATCAAACCCCCAGTATCTACTAGGTATGGCGTATGTTGTTTTTCCTCTTAAATTCTTTCCTGATGTACCCCATGTGTTTTGGTTTTATTTATTGAAAGTTTTTGATCCAAAGCAATTGCTGCACTAGGTAAAATGTATTTGGGCCTGGCTGGCATGGCTCAGCAGTTGAGTATCGACCTATGATCCAGGAGATCGCAGTTCAGTTCCTGGTCAGGGCACATGCCTGGATTTTGGGCTCGATCTCCAGTAGGGGGCGAGCGGGAAGCAGCTGATCAATGACTCATCATTGATGATTCTATCTCTCCCTCCCTCCCTCCCTCCCTCTCCCTTCCTCTCTTTGAAATCAATAAAGATATATTTTNGTGGCTGAGCCTCGACCTAGGATCCAGGCGATTGGGGTTCAATTCCCGGTCAGGGAACATGCCCGGGTTGCAGGCTCGGTCCCCAGTTGGGGGCATGCAGGAGGCAGCCGATCAGCGACTCTCTCATCATTGATGTTTCTATCTCTCTCTCCCTCTCCCTTCCTCTCTTTGAAATCAATAAAGATATATTTTAAAAAATGTAATTGATTTGTTAGTAGGGATGCGTACATGAAATTTTTTACAGAATAAATATTCTGTCTCTTATTTTTGTTTTAAACAGACATCCCACAATCAAATTTTCGTCGTTTACCTTTTGACCACTGCAGGTAAGAGTTTTGAGAGTTTAATTTTTCTCTTTTAATCATTCTCTGATACTTAGTTATTTGACAGTGAATGTGACCCTTGGAGGTGCAGATGTGGGTTCCGTCTTCGTTTCCCCACCAAGATCATCTCTGAACTGGGAGAAGGTGACTCAACAATGAGGAGAGCTAATGTCTCTTTTCTGCTTGTTCTGTGCCTGTGTTTACAAGTGCTTTGTTTTTTTACCCTCATTTGTACCGTCCAAGGTGGGTAGAGTTGTTAAGCCTGTTTGACTGTTGAGAGAATCAGTGCTCAGAATGAGGCCCGTAAGTCTTTGGCTGGATTTCTCTCCCACCCCCACCAGGTTTTGTCATCAGCCCCATGAGAATGTCTTATTCAGATTGGGTATGAATTGGTTTTATGAAAATACTTTCATCCTTGGTTCCCAGTTCCTGCAACAGGTCTCTGATCTGTGTCTCTCCTATTTTTTAACTACACTGGGTTCTGGGTAAAAATGTGCTTTGAGAATGTGCCCTTTAGGTTGCATTTGGTAGAGGATATATGTACATTTCTTGCTGCTTGGAGCTTGATTTGGTGCCAGGTCCTGCTCTAGCAGCGCTACTAGGTTAGAGTAGACTTTTGGGCCAGATAGAAAGGGGTGAGGTTGCCCCATGAGGGCTTCCTGGGGCAGCGTCCAGGTAGGTACTCCCCCATGCTGCCAGGCTGTCTAGGTCCTGGGGACTGATCTGTGCTGACCAAACTTGTAGGTGACCGATACATAAATAAGCCACGTCAGCCAGGGCTCTTGATGGCTAGTGACAGAAATCCCATGCAAGGAAAAGGGTATTGGCTGAAGGAAGTCCACCAGGTATGGTCTCCCTTCATCTGTGGGCACTTTTTCTTAAGGAGACCGTTCCTGAGGTGGCAAATGGCCTGTGGTAGCCTGCGCCTCTGCAGGCCCTTCTACCCCCCATCCAAATATGAGAACTGAGTCACGTGTCTGCCCCTAGGAAATGTGGGGAGAACTGTGTGTACAGTCTGTGGTTAGGAGCAGGCAGGGCACCCCCGGCTATGAGACCCCATCAGAGTCTCTTCAGATGAGAGAGGGCATTTCTCAGTAGAAAAGTATGGCCTACCTATGCCTGCTATGTGAGGTTTTGGAGAGTGAGCGAATTCTAGTCCTGCCTTTCCCAGGCCACCTCCAGGGACCTCTTTTGGGCTTGAACATGATCCCATGTGTATTACATATCACAGCACAGAGTATGGAGAGGACCAGGCTGCAGTTGTCCCTAAGCCCCTCTTACCACCTCCTGGAACCCTTGCTTTGTACTTACTGGTTTGTGCTGGGAGCTTCTGAGAGGCAGGGATGTGAGGGTGCCTCTGTGCTGGCATCTAACCCATGCTGTGCAGAGGAGCACCAGAATTGTTGGAGGAATGACCGAAAGAGGGAGGAGCAAAGGGAGGTCATAGCCATGTGGGAGTGGCCTGGCTAGTCCATTGCATGACCAGGAGTGACCATGTTCTTTCTCAGCCTCTCTCTGCAGCCCTTCAACTATCCAGTCTGCACCCCTGAAGGTGTCGTCTTTGATTTGCTGTGAGTTCTCCCTTGACTTTTGAGCTAACAAATGGGGTGAGATTGTTGATACCCACTCGGGAAGGGGATGTGGGGCCAGCTGGAGGGTTTGTGGTTCTAAGCAGTGCCAAGCCAGGCCATGCTGGGGTCCCTGGAAGCCTCGGGAGCCCTGGGTAGGTCTTTTGGGGACACAGGAGGGACAGCCAGGGCCTCAGAGATGAAGCAGCAATGCTGCTGTGACCCCTGGCAGGCAGCTTTGCTGGCAGGTGCTACTGCCTCTTCCTGGAGTGGCACTGACCTCCCCCCACGTGGGTTCCGCGTGTTCTAATTGCCGCTTGTACTTGTTTTGGAATGTTAATGAACTAAATATTTTTCACTTTTTGAAAGAGTCATAATCAGGGTGCATATTTTTCCAGTGCTGTATTTTGAAGCATTATGTTCAGTTTTATGTTCCAACATAAGCCAGCTTATATACTTTTCTCACGTTTCAGACTTATTTTAGAAAAATTGTAAGAAATTTCAAAAGAAAAATGTACCGTGGTCACACTGTTTGGGAATAACCATTTTTCCTCCTCTTTTTCTGAGTTGATTTGTGGTAACATGGTTGAGATAATAGCATGGAGAGTTCTGGAGCCATTCCTTACTCAGTCATGAAGAGAGCTTTTCCCATGTCATTAAGAATTCTCTGGCCCGGCCGGCATGGCTCAGCGGTTGAGCATCAGCCTAGGATCCAGGAGATCGTGGTTCAGTTCCTGGTCAGGGCACATGCCCGGGTTGCGGGCTCGATCCCCAGTAGGGGGCGTGCAGGAGGCAGCCGATCAATGACTCTCATTGGGGTTTCTATCTCTCTCCCTCTCCCTTCCTCTCTCTGAAATCAGTAAAGACATATTTTTTTAAAAAAAGAATTCTCTGGAAGTTATAATTTTGATGGTGGTCCAGTATCTCATTTTATAGATGTATCACCGTTTATGTACATCTTTTTTTTTTGCTAGTTTGTCTTGTTTATACATAACCTCAATAAAAACCCTGAATATACTTTGAAACCATGTTTCCAGAAATATCCCCTGCCTCCTTTTTTAAAAATATATCTTTATTGATTTCAGAGAGAGGAAGGGAGAGGGAGGAGAGAGAGAAACATCAAATGATGAGAGGGTCATTGATCGGCTGCCTCCTGCTCGCCCTCTGCTGGGGATCAAGCCCACAACCCAGGCATGTGCCCTGACCAGGAATCGAACCACGATCTGGATCCTAGGTTGATGCCCAACCGCTGAGCCACAGCTGGCCAGGCTCCCCCGCTTCCTTTGATGAGGCAAGGTGCTCCTCTCCTTGGCTTCTGCTAGCAGAAGTGAAGCGGAGCAAAGCCCCTTCACAGCTGTCCCCGGAAGCAGCCACCTGGACTGTGCTGTACCTGCCCATCACGCTGATGCTCTCTGTTCTCTTCCCTTCAGGAACATTCTTCCTTGGCTTAAGAAGTATGGGACCAACCCCAGCAATGGCGAGGTAAGGGTTGTGCAGGAGGTTAAGTGATGCTAGTGAACACTGTTCTATCGCCTGCCCTTTGGTTCTGAGGATCCCTCCCCAGCTGGGTGGCTCAGTTGGAGAGTCATCCTGTACACCAAGAAGGTTGTGGGTTCAATTCCTGGTCAGGGCACATACCTAGGTTGCGGGTTCGATCCCCAGTCAGGGAGTGTATGGGAGGCAACCTATTGATGTTTCTCTCTCTCCCTCCTCCCCTCTCTCTAAAATCAATAAACATATCCTCGAGTGAGGATTAAAAACAAAACAGAGGATCCCATCACAACTGCTCTTAGCATTTAGGTATGTTTATTCCTTTTCCCCTGCTTTTTAGTGTTTTGCCTTTCTTAAATAGTTACACACGGAATAAGGCGACCACTACCGAACCAAAGAAATAATTCGTTGTTTTTTTTTTAGAGTGTGAGAGAGACACATTGATTGGTCGCCCCCTGCACTTGCCCTGACCAGGCTGGGGATTGAGCTGGCAACTGAACTATGTGCCCTTGGCCGGAATTGAACCCCGGACCCTTCAGTCCGCGGACTGACGCTCTAACCACTGGGAAAAACCGGCCAGGGCATACATTTGTTTTTCAGTTTCAGAAATAATCAGTGATTGCCATGAAACTGTCTGAACATCATAGAGTATAAACAAACCTGGGCCTCGGCCTTGACCTCCAGCCTGGATGTCAACCCCTGTGCTTGGGGCCAGTTTGCTGGCTCAGAGGCTGGGCTTTTGTTGTACAGCCCCCTTACCTAGGTTAATCACTGTGTCCTGGGGCCCCCAGGTCAGCACCCCTGCCTCCTCTGGTGAAGGCTTGAGTGGTCAGACTTTTCCAGTCTGTCTGTGTCACCCAGCCTTAGCAGTTCTTCATATCAGCCACTTATTCATTATTATTAATTATGAATTCTACTTCCAGAAACTGGATGGGCGGTCCCTGATCAAGTTGAACTTTGCAAAGAACAGCGAAGGTAAGGGGTCTCTTTTACAGCCAACTCAAGGACTGGCCGTCAGAACCCAGCCTCTGCCTCTTGCCAACTTCTCTGTACAACCAGAGAACTTCCTTTCTGATCAGGCTGGACGCTTGCTTTTAATTTCTCAAAGATATAACAACATTTTTTCTTAAAGGTCCAAGTAGTTTTTAAAGCTGAGGGTGGAGGGGTGAAACCTTGGGTTTTGGGTATTTCTTCCCACAAAGGCAATTGGGCCATGTGGGCCTCTGGTGGCCTTTGTGGGCACAGGTGGGCCCTGTGTCTGGTTTGCTCATAGCTGGAGGCAGAAGCTGCACAGGCTGAGAGGCCCAGGGCAAGTGACTGGGCAGTGGCTGTGGGGGTCTGATGGATTTGTTGGGTGGTTCTTGGACTGGTCTTCTTGCCACTGGTCGTAAAGCCCTAGTCCATCGGGGGTCCTCCTGCTTTATATCTGCACACACCCTGTCATTGGTCAGATGAGGCAACCCCCAAGGGCACTGGCGTTGCTTTCTGTTCTTGCTGGGCCTGACGTGGTTCTCTTGGCCCATGCAGATAACATGGTCAAGGCTGGTGTCCATGCTCACTGGGTGTGTGCATTTCAGTGAGATGCTGAAGCACCTGAGGCTGGGGCCCGTCTAACACTCATCTCTGACCCCTGATCCTGGCCCATAGTAGGTGCTGATTCATAGTGATGAGTTAATGGGTCTCAGGGAAACAGAAGCACAGCACTTCAGAGACAGTCCCTGGGTGTCAGGGAGCTCCGCCCTGGTGGCCAAGTGCTGTGGGCTTCCCTGCTTGGAGATCAGCTGATTTGGGGAGGCCCACAGTATGTCTCATTCAGCAAATCTTTAGGGAGTGCCTGCCATGTGCAGAGAGCAGAGCAGGCCAGATCTCTCTGGAATGATTGAAACTTACATAGTGGGAAGGGAGGAAACTGGAAACAGATCACCATAGTGTGTCAGGTGCTGCTGCTTCTACCAGGGACAAAAGTAAAGCAGGGTAGGGAGAGGGGTGGTCATAGGAAGACTCATGGACAGGGTTTGAGTGGAAATCTGATGGGAAGGAGGGAGGGAGCTGTGTGGGGAGAGAACATTCTAGGCAGAGGGCACAGCCAGTGCAAAGTCCTTGAGGCTAGTCTGGGAATAATGAGGAGTTCAGTGTTGCTGGAACAGTGTGAATGAGAGGCGGAAAGCAGAGGCATAGTCCGAGGGATTGGGGTGGGATGGAGCACAGGGTGCAGAGCAGTCCTGTGGCTCTTGAGTGGCCACAGGAGGACTCAGACGGGAGCCAGAAAGGAGAAATGATAGCTGTCCTAATTTTTGCCTATTAACAACTTTGACCTAGCAGTCACCTTGTTTTGTTTTGTTTTGTTTTGTTTTGTTCTGTTTTTAATTGAAAATCTCAGACACATGAGAGTAGAGAAAATTAATATAATGACCCTCTGGCCAGTATCCATCACCCAGCTTCAGTTTCCAGCCACTCACAGCTGGTCTAATTTTACCTGCACCTGCTTAGGTGATTTTAAAGCAAATTGCAAACATTGTGTCATTTCATGCTTAAATACTTCAGTACATACACACCTAAAAAATTAACAGGAATTCCTTAATATCATTGACTGTCCAGCCATTAGTCAAATTTCCAGAATGCTCTCGTAATTATTTTTATATAGTTTTCAAGTCAAGATTTTTTAAAAGTCCACACAAGTACATGTGGTTGATACCTCTAAGTCTCGTAATCTATGTGTCTCTCCCACCCCGTTTTTGCAGTTTATTTGTTGGGACTTATTTGAACAGGCTCCCAGCTACCTGCAGGCAGTTGGTGGAGCAGGGGAGCAGCAGGAGTTTGTTGCAAAATCCCAGGCGACAGAGTGAGGGACGTGGCAGAGTCTGAAGTAGAGGTGGCGGCCAAGGCAATGTTGCCAGTGGCGGGCTGGGGCCTGGTGGAGCAGAAGCCTCTGAGGAAGGCCATGTGAGGGAGGAGGGGGCTTAAGCAGCTGTCCCTCTGAGCCCTGCTCTGGGCATGCTGAAGCAGGGTTCTGCCTTCTCCCTTTCTCTGACGGGTCTCGCTGTGCATGCCTTCTCCCTAGAGAAGTACCACTGCCCAGTGCTGTACACCGTGTTCACCAACAACACCCACATCGTAGCCATCAGGACCACTGGCAACGTCTATGCCTATGAGGTAGGTTCTCTGTGACTGTGTCACATATAGGCTCTTTAAGTGTGTGCTCCTGGGCGCTCTGGGATTGCACAGCCTGTCCCTGTGGAGCCGACATTCTGAGAGCCATCGGCACAGTCTAGAAAGGGCCTTCCTGTGACCTCTGACCTAAAACCTGCATAGTTTTTTTCTATCCAGGTGTCTTCCCCACAGTCATCTTCAGGGAAGACTTTTACTAGCCAGGCCCTGGGAGGGAACCTGTGCTCTGAGGGCAGGCTCTGGGGCTTCGAGGGGAGTCTTAAGCCCCCCAGTTCCTGGTAGTTCCCAAGAGGAGTGGACATGGGCTGGTGGGCAGGTGTGGGGGAGAGGAAGCTCTGGTTTCCACACCAGTCCTCCTCCAGGTGTGCCAGCAGAGGGTACAGACTGCAGGGGCATGGGCCCCACGTAGCAGGAAGCCCTCTCTGAGCTGTTTTTATGCTTGTCCCTGGCCGTTGGCAGGGTCCAGGTGGCCAGTGCTGCCCTAGCGGCTCTGGAGGTGACACCCGAGTGTGCATAGATTTGGGGGGCTTGGTACAGATGGGCGGACTCGTTGAACCTGTTTGCAGATGTGTAACACCTGTCATGAGAGTGTCCTGTGAGGAACCTTGCTCAAAGGGCTGAGTTTGAGTTTCTGGGGCTCTACAAGCTTCCTCCTCAGTGGCAGGGCGTGCAGAGTAGTCTGTCTTTCCTCATGCTGGAATAGTGCCAGCTATTTGGGCGGGCTGTAGGCTCCCAATGCCAGGTTAGGGACAGGCACCGTGACCGCTGGCTTCTTCCTGGCTTCAGGCAGTGGAGCAGCTAAATATCAAGGCCAAGAACTTCCGAGACCTGCTGACTGATGAGCCCTTCTCCCGGCAGGACATCATCACCCTTCAGGTGAGTGTCCCTTCCCCTGTGTTCTCAGGAGGGGTCATCCAAGAACCTTGGCACGGCTGCCCTCTACCAGCCCCATCTCTCCACCCAGGTTCAGTGGCTTCCTCACCACCTGTCTGGTTGCGGTTCCCCAGCTGCTCCTGGCAATGCCCCCATTTCCAGCTCTCCTTTGGGGAGCAGCTAGCCATTTGTGCCAGTCTGCCCCCCACCTCTGCTTGTGGCCCTGCACGGGACAGAGCCCTCTCCCTGGCACCCCTGTTCCCTGCTCAACCCCCAGGTCTCCTTGCAGCGAGAGGCTTCTCCCCTCCTGGCTCCAGGACCCTCATGCCACCCACCTATCCTTTGCTGCCTGGGGCGGCTGCATGGCCACAGCCTGGGACCTGGCTGGGCTCACTCCGCTATGTGTGTTCTTTTTGCCACAGGACCCTACTAATTTGGACAAATTCAACGTCTCCAACTTCTTTCATGTTAAGAATAACATGAAAATAACAGACCCAGGTATGAACAGCCAGGGGTGGTCTGAGTGCCAGGGGTTGCGGCAAAGTAGGTCAGTGCTCCCTGGCCAAAGCCCCTGCCTTCCTGGGACCAGAGCCTCGATTAGGCAGAGGCAGGTCTGGAATTTCCTGAGCTGACGTTCACCTTCTCCTGTGCTAAGACTGGCAGGACCACATCTGCCCACAGGGGGCCTGATGTTGTAGGTGCCAGTCAGGCCTTACGCCTTAGTGCCCACAGCCTCATGCGGGAGAGGCTGATATACCCGATCCTCCCACTCAAGACAGCTCCAAGGACCCTTGGGCTGCTTCCTTGCCCAGGCCCTCAGGTGCCTGGGTGGGCCCTGTCTCTGCTCCTTAGAAATTGTCTCTGTTCTCACTGCAGGGACAGGTGTTAGGCAGGTGGGTCCCGTGATGGGTGGTGAGTGTGGGTACTGCTCAGCTAGCGAGTCACCACCACCGGGGTCCTGTGGTTCGGGGCTGTTTTTGAACACTGTTGGGGCCAAGGCTGGGCCAGGGACAGAGACCAAAGCCTTGGTGCGCAGACTGCTGCCCTCTGGGCTGTTCCTCACTGTCTCCCTACACATGCCTCCCTGGGTTTGCAGCAACTATGAAGGTGTCACTGTGATGGAGGCTCGGCCTGTGTCCTGGTCTGGGACTTGTGCTGGTGTAGCCAGCTCTGGCCTTTTGTCCCCGTCATGCACACCTGGGGACATTCCTGGGGGCTCAGCTCCTCCGGTCCACCGTGCTGTTTTGCAGATGAAGAAAAGGCCAAACAGGACCCGTCTTATTATTTGAAAAATACTAACGCTGAGACCCGAGAGACACTGCAGGAGCTCTACAAGGAATTCAAAGGGGATGAGGTCCTGGCAGCCACCATGAAGGCCCCCGAGAAGAAGGTGGACAAGCTGAATGCTGTGAGTAGGTAGAGGGGCACACAGCTGCCCGCCTGAGCCACCTGCCCCTCATGGCCCCTGGGAGGGCTCCTGGGATACATTTGGAGGGGAAGCAGGTGGGACCCCAGAGTCAAGGCGCTCCTGGCGGCCTAGAGGACAGCTGCACAGAGGAGGCTGGGGGTGACAGATGGGTGTACTGGGGTCCACGCAGGAAAGGTGACCTCCAGCCATGGAGGGTCTGCTTCATGCTCTGGCCTAAGCTGGGGAGCCTGGAACAGACATGCTGGGTGGATGATGCCCAGTGGCTTTGGTGGTACCGCATGATATAGTAGCCTCAGGCATGCAGGTCTGTGGGAGGGGATGTCCCGTGGGGCACGGAGTCAGTGCTATACTGAGCTGGTCACTTGTTGCCCAGAGCAAACCCAGGGAGAGAGAGGGGGGTTTTTTCAGGGGCGCTGTGTGCTGAGGGGAGGGAACAAGTGGTGCTGGGGACTGCTGTATGCCGGGCCCTCCTGGGCAGTCAGGTTCACTTTTTACAATACCCAGTAGTTGGCCCTGAGGCCCTCAGTTGGCAGTGATGGCACCAGGATTTGTGCCCTGGTCTGCCAGGCCCTAAAGCTGCCCCTTCCTCTCTTCAGCTTCCCGAGCTGGGGCTGTGGGGATGGGGAGGTGGAGCTCTGCGGCTCCCTCCTTAAAGAAGTATTCAGGAAAATTTGTAAAAGAAAAAGTTTGTTGTTCATGGTTCCACCACTAACACAATGGCTGTTAGCATTTTGGTGTACTTCCTCCTGAGGGGGAGAAATCCCTCCTTTTATTTTTTCATTCTCCCTAGGATGAAAAAAATATTTATTGGGGTTTATGTTTTCCTGATTAAAAATATAATGTGTTTATTGTAGAAATTGGAAACTTTTAAAAGGACTCTAGAGTCCCTCATCCTTTGGGGCCTTAGGGAAAGGCCAGTCCGGGCTGGGCCATCCTGTCCTCCAGGAGGTTTCTGGTGGTATCTTTGGGTGATGGCCAGGGACGCCTTCCTGGAGGAGAGGCGCTGAGCCAGGGGCCTTAGCACTGGGCCAGCTGGCTGCCATGTCCCCAGGCCACCAGCCTCCCAGGACGCTGCTGACGTTCCTCTGCCGTTTTCTTGGCAGGCCCACTATTCCACTGGGAAGGTCAGCGCCTCCTTCACCTCCACCGCCATGGTTCCGGAGACCGTACATGAAGCAGGTAGCTGCCTTTGCTCCACCAGTGGTGCTGCTCCATAGTGGCCGGGGCAGGTGCCCTGCCTGCCTGTCCTCATGTCTGGGCTTTGTGGGGTCTTCGGCCGCTCAGAAGTGGTCAGGGGGACAGGCCCTTTTGAAGGTGTGTTTGCGTCTGCGGTGGGGAGGGCTAGGCCGGGGGCAGGAGCCCTCCCTGCGTTGTGCCCTGCCCTGCCTGCTGGCGCCTCCATCTTGGCCTCTTCCCAGGCTGCCCGTGGGTGTCTTAGCCCTCCACCAAGTCTGCTGTTGTCATTGTCCCCAAGCCCTCTTCCACCTGTGTTTTCGGCCAGTTAGGTCCCCAACCCTCCCCTCTCCACTCCCCTCTCTTCACTTCCTTCCCACCCTGGGTCCAGGCTTTTCCAGCATCCCTGCCTCAACTGCTGAGCCCGTCCTTCCCCTCCTGTGCTCAGCTGGGGCAGACCCTGGGCTTCCCCAGGGCCGGGGCCGAGTTCCAGGCCTCTGTGCCCGGTGTGGGCGTGGTGTCTTCGGGTAGAGGGAGACCCAGCACTTGGCCTCTGCTTGCAGCTGCCATTGACGAGGACGTGCTGCGCTACCAGTTTGTGAAGAAAAAGGGCTACGTGCGGCTGCACACTAGCCGGGGCGACCTCAACCTGGAGCTGCACTGCGACATGGTGGGTGTGGCAGCCGTCCCTCCCCTGCCCAGGGTCATTTCCAGGTATTAAACATGGAGCTGCACCTAGGATGTGCTTGTAGTAGAAAACTCTGTTCTCTAGGTGTGGTGCCCCCACGTCCCTCCCCAGAAGGGACTCTGGACTCTGTCAGCCATGTGCTGCAATTTTCTCGGCCCCAGTCTGGGTGGCAAACACGTCCCGTCT